TTTTTTTTTTTTTTTTTTTTTTTTTGGTACTGGGGATTGAACTCAGGTCCTTGCGCTTGCCAGGCAGGCAGCAGAACCGGAATCACTGAGCTAAATCCCCGGCCCCCATTAGCATTCATCTTTAACTTATCAAAGTCTAATAAAAAGTAGTGGCACTTTCATCATTTCCCATACAGCTCTAGGTCTCAGAACATCCTGACGTCACTTACCTTTTTTTTTTGACATAGTCTTGCTATGTAGGTCAGGCTGGCCTTGAACTCACTATGTAACCCCGGCTGGCCTCAAACTTGTGGTGATTCTCTTGCCTCATCCTCTCGAGTGCTGGGATTACAGGCATGCACTACTAACCCCAGTTTATGCAGTATTGTTTTTTTGTTTTGTTTTTTGGGTTTTTTTGGTACCAGGGATTGAACGCAGGTCCTTGTGCTTGAGAGGCAGGCGCCAGAACCACTGAGCTAAATCCCCAGCCCTTATGCAGTATTGTTCTAGGGATCATTACTGGATCTCCAGAATGAAATTTACTATTTCAATCCCCTCCACATGATGTTGTAAACAGTTCATTCCTAATGATGAGTCCTTTATTTTCTGTATAAAATAGCCAGAGCTCAGTGAGGCATACAAACTTGAAATTAACTCAATTTAGACTAAAGCAATTTTTTCTGTTGAACTCAGAGCAAGATGCATGAACTACAGATTCCTGAAGTATTTTGTTGCTTCTTTTAAATATGAAGGAAAATAACAATGATGCCCCTATTATTGAACTCTGAATATTTCAATAGTTTGCATAATGTGATTTTAAACCCTTAACTTTAAAGGAAAAAATTGACTAGAATTAGTTAAAATGTTAAAGTTTGTTTTCTTTGGGTGGCAAGAATATAATTTTTCCTGTGCCTTTCAAAGTTTTTCTAGATGGGCATGGTGGCATACATCTGTAATCTCAGCTTTCAGGAGGCTGAAGCAGGAGGATTGCTGCAAATTTGAGGCCAGCCTGGGCTACATAGTGAGTTCAAGGCCAGGCTGAACTACATAGAAAGGCCCTGTCTCAAACAAACAAACAAACAAACAAAGGTTTTCTAAGAAGTGTATGAATTCTTTCATAGTGAAGAAAATATAATAAATTGTGTTATATTAGTTTATCCAATTTCTTCTAGTATATTTGAGGGTAACAAAGAAAATCAGCGTATCCTGATATGATGGATGAATGTCTGGGAACTACATTTTTAAAATTATTTTAATAAATGACAGTAGGCAAAATAACATTTTTCTGGCATTTAAATCTAATATAAGTGAGTAAAAAAGGCACAGTCCTACCCTAATGAAATATTTCTGCCAGGGCCAGGATTTAGCTCAGTGGTACCTCCAACTGCCTCACAGCACAAGGTCCTGAATTCAATACCCAAAAAAAGAAAGATTTCTGCCCAAAAAAATCATTCATTTTTGTCATGTGGATAAATAAATGTTATTCTCCCCCCAACTCCCACCATTAGTTCTACATCTGCCTCCTTCCTGCCATTTTTATTTTGTTGCTTTTATTATTCAAATCTAACAAGTACAATTTTTCAAATACATTGCAATAAAGATGTTTGTATTTAAAGATAAAAATAAAATAAAATATTTAGACTTGTTTCTATTATTGACAGTTGAACCATAATGAATATAATAGTTGGTATCGGAGGTGGGTAGAAACGTTCGATAATAGGAATGCGGGACTCACCTGCTGATTTAGTTGGATTTGAAAGCAATGAGGACCTAGTTACCATTAAAGTTTGGAGTACTAGTATTATGGACTGAATTGTATCTCCCCCAAAATTCAAAAGGGGAGACTTTAAAATAGGGACTGTATTTAGAGATAAGGTGTTCAAAGAGGTAATTAAGAAGCCAAGTAAGGTGGTGTACCTGTAATCCCAGCACTTGGGAGGCAGAAGCAGGAGGATTGCCAGGAGTTCAAGGCCACCTTGGGCTACATAGTGAGCTCAAGGCCAGCCTGAACTACATAGTAATACCCTGTCTCAAAAACCAAAAACAAAAAAACAGAAAAAGGGTAATTAAGTTAAAATGAGGGCATTAGGGTGGGCTGTAGTCCATTATAATGAGTATCCTTATAAGACAAGATTAGGTACACACACACACAAACACATACATACAGAGCAGGACAGTCATGTGAGGACATAAGACAGCAACCATCTGCAAGCCAAGGAGAGAGGCCTCAAAAGAAAGTAAACCTGCCAATACCTTACACAGCCTCCAGAATGTGAGAAAATAAATTTCTGTGGCTTAAGCCATGCAGCCTGTGATATTTTGCGGTGGCAATACTAGCAAACTATACTTGATCTTAGCCAAAAGGCCGAGAAGCAATAATACTAGCAAACTGACACAACTAATAATAAACCATGGCATTCGGGTACCAAGGTACTTAAGCTACCACACATGGTCAACTGAAAGCAAGTGTCTTGGAACAGACCTAGTGGTAGGGCCATAGCCTGTTATGATTGTTATTTAGCATTCAAAATTCTGAAGTGGGTTGGCTGCTCTTACCTGCTCTAAAGAGCTTAATGACAGAGAACAACATTCTCAGGATTTAAAATTCTTGATTTATGGCATTGTCAGAAAACTAATGAGTTACTATGACTCTTCTAAAAGCCTCTCATATTTCTTATAGCCACAGGGTCCTTGTAGCTGATCATCAAATACACAATTTGGATTCTGCAGGTACCTAAATTAGACCACTAATTGAATTCATAGCCTCGTCTTTTTTTAAAATTAATTTTATTGGCACATTTTAGATATACAATATAATGACATTCATCATTGGAAATGTGTACCTTTACGTAATCTATCTTGGTTCTTATTTTTTTCCCCATTCCCCTGCCCTCCCTTCAACCCCTCCACCCCTCCCCACTTACAAAGACTTTGTTCCCATTTTTTTCATTTTCTCATATGAATTCTATTCCCTTCTTTCTCCAGTCTTTGAGTGTATGAGATTAACTGGGAAAAGGTAGGACCTGTTGGAATTGAATGGCAACATTCAGGGAGCTTTGGATGATTCTAAATCCATAAAACTCACTGAACTTCCATTCCAGCAGAAGCACCTCCTCCTGCCCCATCTGATGAAATTGAGCCTGCCTTGCTTGAACACCTTATGTTGACTACAACAGACCTTGCCGAGGGCTTTCAATGTTCCTTCTTCCTTGTCGTGACCATCCTTCATTTTCGTCATACCCACGGTCAGAGTCATATCACAGCTTGCACAGGGAGCCTATTACAGTCAAAACCATAAGGGAAGGATTACATGCATGAGGAATTATATAATTTTATAATGGCAGGAATCTGGGACATATGCATGAAAATGATATCTGGAGGATTTCTAGGCCAGAAGGAAAGAACAATTTTAGAACAAGATAATTTTATTGACAGTTAGCACATGTACCAAAGAATACAGATTTGATTTGCTGGCTTGAACAGCTAACAGTGGTACACATGGTTTGCTTGGTTGATTAAATACAAACTGAAATCAGCTATGGATTCTAACTGAAGTTAAGATCCACAAATTCCATAATATAGGATAGAAGGCGTGATCCATAGATTTAAGGAGATAAAGATAAGGAAGTGGATTTGTTACGTGCAACCAATCACATAGCCACTAGCCCTTTTGCAAGAGGATCCAGAAGATACTTCTTGATTGAGAAATACATGGGTGTGAGAATACTTGGAGAGCACTGTAGTGGATGTCTTTCTTTTAGGAACTAAGAAATGATGGCAGTAAAATGGACTCTCTGATTTCAGTAAAGATGAGGCCCTGGGTAGCAGAAGCAAGGCAGCAGCCTTTAGTTCAGAGAGGCAAGGTGGACGTGGTCTCCATAAAACACGCTGTAGGGCCCACATAGTTTACAAAAATTGACTCTCAGGATAGTTAACAGTTTATCCTGGGGTCCATTAGTCTAGAATGGATGAACTAAGACATAGTGGATGGAAGAATTCTATCCAGGATTGGTGAACAGTGAGACACAGCCTCTCAGCTGCTGCTAGGTACAGTTAGTTGCTAGGACTCAGGTATCTTGCTTCAAGAGAAAGCGTAGAATCCATGCATAAGGACTGAACAGACAAAATAGCAACACAAACTGAATCAGGCATGGTAATACACACCTGTAATCCCAGCTAGTCAGGAGGATCACAGGTTTGAGCCCACACTGAACAATGTATTGATGCCTGTCTCAAAAAAAAGCTGAGGACATAGCTCAGTCATAAGGTCCCCCTACCAATGGGGCAACCTTAATCCAGCCAAGGTGAGGAAAAAGAACATCCCTTTTGGCCATCGTGAAGAGTCCTGTGCTATTTACCAGGATGACAGTTCGCTAGAGAAAGGGAGATATCTAGGCCTCTGAGGGATTTTGAGTGCTGGTTCTGAGCATATATACTGAGGATCTATAACATCCCAACAGTCTGTCAAATTGGGGGCTGATGGCTGTCAGACAATAAATAGTTAAATAAAAACTAATCTGTTTTTGTCTCCTGTGAATCCACTCTATTTTATTTCCTCTGTTTCTGGACTTATTATTGGGATAAGAAAGAAAAACAGTATTTAAATTCTATGTACCAAAGTATTGCTAGAAGCTGGGCCTGGTGGCGCATGCCTGTAATCCCAGCACTCTCGGGAGGCTGAGGCAGAAGGATCGCTGTGAGTTCGAGACCAACCTGGGCTACATGGTGAGTTCCTGGTCAGTGTCAACTACATAGTGAGACCCTGTCTTAAAAAAACAAAGTATTACTAGACTTTATAGACAATTATGATGACAATTCACCTTTGTTAAGTGATTACATGTCAGGCCCTATGCCAAGTGCTTTACAGGCACAGTCTCACTCAGTTCTCTCCAAAAGCTTGTTTGTTGTTGCTTTTATTAGATTATCCTTTACAGAGAAAACAACAGGTCTAGGAAGGTTGGATAACTTTGTTATCCTGGTAGACATATGTTCACTCCAAGCTTTCTAATGCTAGAGGAGGACAATTTTTTATTGGTCTATCTGTGCTGTTAATTTGAATTAATTTGAAAATCACATAAACAATGTAACCTGTGTAAACCTATGTAATCATGTAAACCTATGGCAATTTATTTTTCTATTCCTGCTTTGTTTTCCAGGCTGATTTCGTGCTCAGGGGATACAGGCAGTCTGATACTGTCTGATGGAAAAGGAGATCTAAAGTGCCATATCACAGCAAACCCTTTCAAGATAGACTTGGTATCTGAAAAAGAGGTTGTAATGAGCATAAATTCACTGGGCCAGTTATACTTTGAGCACCTACAGATTCCTCCAAAGCAAAGGTATTTTTACACATTACCTGACACATAAAGACCTTAACAAAATCTATTTATGAATACCAATGACCTAAATATATAACAAATCATCGCAGAAAGTCAGTTTTCTAGCCAAGCACAGTGATGCAAGCAGCACTGAGGGAGGCTGGGGTAGAATAGAAAGTTTGAGTTCTGCCAGGGCAACATAGTAAGACTTTTGTCTCAAAAATAAAAACATAAGTAAATAAGAAGGGCTAGGATGTAGCTCAGTGGTAGGGCACCTCTGCATTCCATCACATCACCAGTAGTGCAAAAAAAAAAAGTTGGCTTCCCATATTTACTATCTTATTATTCTGAGAATTTTCATCTGTGCAGGTGAATATAGGCTTTGTGATAAAAATGATTACCAAATTTTTGAGACTGTTACACTTTAGATAATTGTAACTGATGTGACCTTTTACACCCTTCTAAATAAACAGTGTTGACAAATGTCATGTGAACTATTCTGTCTTCAGAATGTCACTTTAGTCCCTTAAAATAACCAGCATTTGAATGGTCCAGGGATTTTTCTGGGACCATGCAGTTGTTTGTTGCAGGTCACATGATTAGAAAGTAATGATAAGGAAGAGATTCTTCTTCCATTTTTTATAATTACAATTTTTAAATCTCCCACTTTGTAATTCTTTGTATTTTATCATAATAGTGAACATATTATTTCATCTGCAGAAAGCATTAACATCCATTATTTCTACATAGTAATTTTTTTGTGAGATTCAACTTAGTTTTATTTTTAAATTTTTTAAATGTCTTATTTTCTAAGGGGCTGGGATTTTGCTCAGTGGTAGAGCCTTTGCCTACCATATACAAGGTTCTGTGTTTCAATCACAGAACCACAAAAAACAATCATACAAACACTCTCCTGGAACTACTAAGTGATTATAGCAAGGATTCAGGATACAAGATTAATTACAAAAATCAACTGCTTTTCTGTATATCAGCAATGTATGAGTGGAATTTGAAATAAAAAACACATTTGGGGCCAGAAATTTAGCTCAGTGGTTCCGCTGCCTGCCTTGCAGCCTCAAGTACCAAGTTCAATCCCCAGTACCAAAACAAAAACAAAAGACACATTTTATACTCCACCAAAAACCTTTTTGATTTGATAACCAAATTCAGTGGCATAGCTGGATACAAAGTCAACCCTCAAAAGTCAGTAGCCCCTCAATGAGGAAAAAAAAATCAGTAGCCTTGCTGTACACAAATAACAAACTCAAAGAGAAAAATTAGAGAAACAATCCCTTTCACAATAGCATCCAAAAAAAATGAAATACCTAGGAATCAATCTAACGAAGGAAGCAAAAGGCCTCTACTTTGAAAACTACAGTACTCTGAAAAAGGAGATTGAAGAGGATATCAGAAAATGGAAAGGTATCGCTTGTTCTTGAATAGGAAGAACTAATTTAATGAAAATGGCCATACTTCCAAAACTATTCTACAGATTTAATGTAATCTCAATAAAAATAGTAAACCTCACAGAATTAGAGAAAGCAGTCCTCAAATTCATGTGGAAGTAGAAGAGACCTAGAGTAGCAAAGGCAATTCTGGGCAACAAAGGCAAGGCAGCGGGTATCACAATCTCTGACCTGAAATTATACTACAAAGGTACTGTGATAAAAACAACATGGCACTGCCAAAAGAACAGAACTGAAGATCAGTGGGACAGACTAGAAAATACAAAATCAACTCCAAATACACTCAGCTACCTTATCTTTGACAAAGAAGCTAAACACCTTCACTGGAAGAAAAATAACCTCTTTAATAAATAGTGCTGGAAAAACTGGCTTTCCACATGCTGAAGATTGAAACTAGACCCGTAGCTTTCACTATGTGCAACCTAAAATCAAAATGGATCAAAGATCTGACTATTAAAACAGAAACATTAAATCTGATGGAAGAGAGAATAGGTAGAATGCTTGAGGACATAGGAGTAGGCAAAGGCTTTATGAACAAAACCCAGACCACATGGGAAATACTACAAAGAATCAACAACTAGGACCTTTTCTTATAAAAAAGTTTTTGCACAGCAAGAGAAACTACCAGCAGAGTGAAGAGACAACCCATAGAGTGGGGAAAAAGATTAACAGCTATTCAGATAAAGAACTAGTATCTAGAACATATAAAGAACTCAAAAAAATCAGATCCCTCAAATTTAAAGACCCATTCAAAAATGGGCATTTGAAATAAAAAGACACTTCTCAGATAAAGAATTAGAAACAGCAATTTATATGAAAAAATGTTCAGCATCAATGGTCATTTGAAAGATGGAAATTAAAACCGCTGAGATTCCATTTCACTCCAGAAAAAATGGCTGCTATAAAAAAATCAATAACAAATGATGGAGGGGCTGTGGGGAGAAAATAACCCTTCTCCACTGTTGGTGGGAGTGCAGGCTGGTGAAGCCACTGTGGAAATTACTGTGGAGATTTCTCAAAAAACTGAACCTAAAGGTTCCATTTGACCCAACTATACCCTTTCTTGGTACGTTCCTGAACGAATTAAAAGCATTATACCATAGTGATATATGCATATCCATGTTTATAGCAGCACAGTTTGTGATAGTTAAATCTTGGAAACAGCACAAATGCCCATCAACTGAAAGTAGATAAAGAAAATGTGTGGTTTTTTATACAATGGAGTACTACTCTGCCATAAAGAAGGATGGGCTTCAGACATTTATAGCTAAATGGATGCAACTTGAGACCATACTCTTAAGTAAAATAAATTGGACACACGTTTAAATACTGCATTGTTTCTCTGGTGTGAGAAACTGAATGTGGAAATTTTTTAAATGCACACATTTATTGCAGTATATTAGAACCCAAAACACGAAATATGTATGTATTAATCTAACAAAACAGGTATAAGGAAAACTACAAAACAAGACAAGACCTGGTGTGGTGAAATCAAATAGTAACAGTGGCAAGGCAGCCAAGGGAAAAGGAACCCTTCTATATTGTTGGTGAGAATTCAAACTAGTTCAACCACTATGGAAATCAGTATGGTGATTTCTAAAAAAACTAAAAGTAGAAATACCATTCAGGGTCCAGGGATTTAGCTTAGTGGTGCCACCACCTGCCTCGAAAGCACAAAGACTTGAGTTTGATTTCTGTTACCAAAAAAAAAACTTTCCATGCAGCCCAGCTGTTCCTCTTCTAGGTATCTCCTAAAAGAATTAAATACATCATATTACAGTGATATATGCATACCTATGTTTATACCAGAATAATTCATAACAGCTAAATCTTGGAAGTAGCCCATATGTCCACCAACAGACGAGTGGATAAAGAAAATGTATTTATATACAATGGAATACTACTCTGCCATAAAAAGGATAAATGATTCATCTGTAGGAAAATGGATGCACATTGAGACTATAATATTAAGTGAAATAAATCACACACACACAGTAAAATATTCCATGGTTTCTCTTATGTGAGAAATCCAAAATATAAATAACAAGTAAAAGATAATTGGAAGTAGGGAGATAGATCTTTCTCAAAGGGTAAGGGGATTAAAAGATGAAGGAAGGGAGGGAAGGGAAGGGAAAAGAAAACTGAGATGTGTTTTGTATATGTACAGACTCATAAGGAATGTTGTCATTGTGTACTGCAAACATGTATTAATTTAAAAAAGACTTGCTACAAAGCTGCAGTAATCAACATAGTGTGACACTAGAGAATAGAGTTTGATCAGTAGAACAGGATACAGAGGTCTGAAATAGACTCATAAATAGAATCAACTGATCTTGACAGTGAAGACAACAGAGCAGATAGTCTTTTCAGCACTGGAACAATTAGACATCCACATTTAAAAAATTAGACACAGACCTTATACCCTTCACCAAAAAATGATCTCAAAATGAATCAGGCCCAAATATAAACAAGAAGCTATTAAACTCTTGGAAGATAACAGAACACCTAGTTGACCTTGGATATAATGATGATCTTTTGGATATAACATCAGAGAGACAATTGACAAGCTCACCTTCATTAAAATTAAAAACTTCTGTTCTTTGAAATATAATGCCAAGAGAATGAGAAAATGAGCTGCAGCTTGGGAGAAAATATTTGCAAAAGACACATCTGATAAAATGTGCACAGAACAGTTAAAATTCAACAATAAGAAAAAATTTTTGTCTTTTTTGAGGCAAGTTCTCGCTGTATAGCTCAGGGTAGGCTTGAGCTCACTATGTAACCCAGGCTGGCCTCAAACTCAAAGCAGTCCTCCTGCCTCAGCCTCCCCAAGTGCTGGGATTACAGGTGTACATCACCACACCTGGCTAGGAAAAGATTTTAAAAACCAAAAAAGAAAAAAATAGTTAAAACGGTCAAAAACAAATTTTTTTGTTTCTCACCAAAGAAGATATATACAAGGCAAGTGAGTATATCAACACCATATGTCATTAGGGAATTGCACATTGAACCAGGGAGATTCCAGCACACCTGTGAGAATGACCAAAATCTAAAACTCTGACAATACCAAATGTTGAAGCTGTAGAACATCTCATTCATTGCTGGTGGGAATGTAAAATGGTAGAGCCATTTTTGGAAGACAGTTTGGCAGTTTCTTACAAAAGTAAATTTGCTGTTACCATATAATCCAGCAATCATGCTCCTTGGTATTTACCAAATGAATTGAACACTTATGTCCACAGAAGAACCTGTACATAGAATTTATAGCTGCTTTATTTGCACTTGCCAAAGATGGAAGTGGCCACAATGTCTATTAGCAGATGAATAGACAAACTGGTACATCTGGGAATGGAAAAGAAATGAGCTCTTAAGCCATGAAAAATCATAGAGAGAATTTAAATGCATATTACTTAGTAATAGAAGCTAATCTGCAACTATAGGTTTAAAAAAAAAGACAAATATGATTTGGCCCACCTTGTGACTTTCCATTGGGTCTTACTGTTTTGTCCCATTGTACCCACCTCACCTCATGGCTTTCCTGTAAAAAATACCTTTAAAAAGCAAGATGGGCAGGCAACCCACTTTCCGGTCCCCCTTCTAATCTCTCTTAGAAGCTAACTTTCTCTCAATAAATTTTTCCTACTCTTAAAAAAAATAAAGGCAAAGTTATAGAGACAGTAAAAAAGATGAGAAGTAGCCAGGGGTTATAGGGAGGGGGTGAATCAGCTGGACACAGAGAAGTCTTTCAGAATAACAGAAATACTCAACTACTCTATGATGCTTCAGTGGTGAATTCGTGTCATTATACATTTACCCAAGCCTACATAATGTACAAGACCAAGAGTGAACCCTAATATAAGCACAGGAATTTGACTGATAATGATATCAATTTAAGTTGACCAAAGATATCAGATGTACCAACGTGCCATGGAATAGCAGTAGTAGGGTAGATGGGAACTCTCTACTCTGCTCATTTCTGCTGTGCACCTAAAACTGTTCTAAAAGATAAAGTCTATTAATTTTGAAACCTTTAAAGGCTATATACCAGGGAAATTTTTAACATAAGAATTAAAAATAAATATGCACGATGTAGAAAGAGCTCATCTGAATCAATATGCAAAAAATCAGCAAATTTTAAAATGATGTGATGCAAACTGCAGCAATTCATATTAATATAACAAATGTCAAAAAATTAATAGAGTGAAAAACGTGTCACAAAAGAATATGTACAGTATACTTTTATTTATATAAAAATTTAAAGGTAAAACCAAACAATAGATTGTTTGAAGATTCGTGTATATGTGGAAATAAAACAGCAATTATTAACACTAAATTTCATAAAGTGGTTACCTCTGAAGGACAGAGTAGAGGCAGATACATTTGAAGAGAGGTTCACAGACACCGGAAATTCCCATCCCCACTGCTGCTTAAACTTAATGGTGTGTCAAGTTGTTTGTTCAGATTATTCTTTAAGCTCTTTGAATACTCTGTATCTTCTTATATTTACTTGCCCTGCTTTACACTGAAGACAAAATCATAGTGAGTATGAATAAACCATTTACAAAGGAATAGAAGTACTATTAAATGTATAAAAAAGTAGTCTACATCATTGATCACAGAAATACAAATTGAAATACATTATCCTTTCTAAACTTTTAATAAGGACTCAAAAGATTGATAAATCCAGTATCATTAAGGTTGTGGGGAGACAAGCTCTCAAACACAGTTGTGGGTAGAAGTATAAATTGTCACGACTATTCTGGAAGACTGCATTATGTTATGTAATATGTAATGTTATTAGCATGATGGTAAAGAAAGGGTGCTACATGCTACCTAGTTAACTTTTATTTTATTGAAATGTTATGAATATGTGTTATGTGTTTTGTTTTGTTTTGTTTCTGTTTTGTTTTTTGGTGCTGGGGATCAAACTTGGGACCTTGCACTTAAGAGGCAGGCAGTGACACTACTGAGCTAAATCCCTGGCCACAATGTGTTAATTTTAATTTTAATTTAAAAAATTGATAAATGTATTTTAAAGAGTCAAGAAAATTCACATACATCTACTGTTATATAAGAAATCAAGCTATTGGTTTAATATTTATCATTAATATTTGGTTTATAAACTCATTTACTTTTATAGTGATGTTATAAGTTAAAGGATGTAATTTATGAGATCCTGAACAATGAAAATTAAGATCATTGTCATTAAACAAAATTATGTCATTCTTTCCCTTGCATGAAACAACTTTATTTATGTTAAAACAGAACTACCAAAGAAAATGAGAAGACTACATCAGTTGACACTTCTCAGGTAATCTAGACTGAGCAAATTGTTATCTTCTTCATCACCATCATAAATATGCAGTGTGCAATGAATTCTGTTCCTCCCACACAAAGATTACTACTTATAAGTGGAATCACCCATCTTTTTTGCTCACCTTATATTGATTCATTCATTCGTTTATTCATAAAAGCAGATATATCCCAAGTGCCTGCTTTTTGTTTGGCATTACATTAGGCAAAGATAATCAACCTTGAATAAAACAAATAGCAAACAAGTCCTCATGGAACTTGTCCAGTCTCTTAGGGAAACAGACATTGACTGAATACCTAGGAACAAGAGGAGTTTTACAGAAAGGTGCTATAGAAAAATACAATAAGGAGCCTGACCTAAGATGAGAGACTGAAAAAAACTCCTGAAGGGAGTAATACTAAAATTGAAACTGATGCATTAGCCAGTAAGAAACTGTTTGTGAAGGGGTAGAAAACTGTATATAGGGAGGAACAAAGGGAAGGATGGTGAGTGATAAGGCTAGAGAGATGAGCAGGGGCTGCTCTGTGGGAAGTCACAATAACTTATTCAGCAGATGTTTATTGAGTATCTCCTATGTGCCAGGCATTGTTCAAAGCATTGGTGGTTCATCATGGAACAAAGTGAGTTTTGGCATGGAGCTTATCTTATAAGCCATGTTAATCTGTTTTGAGTTTATCCTAAGAACTATTGAAAACCATGGGAAGGTTCTAAGCAGCAAAAACACATAGCCTTATTTCTATATTCAAAAGATTTTTGGCTAAGGAGCTGGGGATTTAGCTCAGTGGTTCCACTGCCTGCCTCGCAAGCACAAGGTCCCAAGTTCAATCCCCAATACCAAAAATAAATAAATAAATAAATAAATAAATAAATAAATAAATAAATAATAAAATAAATTTTTAAAAAAAGATTTTTGGCTGAATTATGGAGAATGGATAATCTAGAAGTGTTGTCTTCATCCATAGTCAAATAAATCTTTTTTTTTTTCCTGTATCAAGGTTCAAACTCAGGACCTTGTGTTTGAGAGGCAGGCACAGTGCCACTCAGCTAGATCCCCAGCCCAATCAATAGTCTCATAAATCTTAAGAGGAGTCTGACAATAGTTATGACTGCCTTGAATGGTAAAATAATAGTGTAGTAAGAACTTCATGCATGCTGGGCAAGCACTGTACCACTTTACCTATGTTCCCAGCCCTAAAAGCTGCATTTTTTTTTTTTTTTTTTTTTGGTATTGGGGATCAAATTCAGGACCTTGCATTTATATGGCAGGTGGCAGAATCACTGATCTAAATTCCCGTCCCCAGTGTTGCTTTTTATTAAGAACTGGTCCATATTGATGAACATAAGAGAATTTTTTCCATTTCCAAATAAAAAAGATAAGTGCATAACTTTACACAGAGTTGTGACAGAATGTCAAATTAGCTTTTGAGGTGATGTCTAATTAGACAGCTTATGTATTATGGTTGTTATTGTTGTTTCTGGTATTTTATGGTATTGGGAATTGAACCCAGTGTCTTCACACTGGCTACATCCCCAGCCTTTTTTTTTTTTAATTTTGGCACAAGATCTCACAGTATTATGTAGGCAGGAGTAAAATTTATGGTCCTCCTGTCTCAGCTACCTACCTTCTGGAATTACAGTGATTTTTGAGCCACAAACCCTTTGCAAGAATTTGATGAAAACTGAACCACCTCTAAAGAAAAAAATTTTAATTTCATATTTTTTGAGGGAATTCATAGACACTAAAGTCCCTTCATGGACCCAAGATAATAAGCATTACCTTAAAGATTTTTTTTTACACCAGGGATTGAATGCAGAACCTCACACTTGCCAGGCAGGTGCTGTGCTGCTGAGCTACATCCTGGCCCCTGGCATGATTTTTTTTTTTTTTTAATGTACAGGTTCACTTTACAGAAGTTTTAACAATGAAAGTAATAGTCTTGAAATGAAGAGCTCATTTTAAAGAAATATGCATTTCATACATACAAGTTTTTTAAACTTTTATTTTACTAGGGAAAAAATGTGGAAAGCTGAAAAATATATAGTTTTAGGTTAAAAGGTTTTGGATCTGAGCAGTTTTTGCCAGCCCAGCTAATTTGACTTCTCAATGCAATACAAGTATATAGCCAGCAGCCTAGGTAGCTAATTTAAGTAGGAAAAAAGAGTGCCTGTCTCAAGAAAAACAAAATCTCTGATTAAAGTCTTTCAAAAACAGACTAAAGCCGGGTGTGGTAGCTCATGCCTGTAATCCCAGCACTAGGGAGGCTGAGGCAGGAGGACCACTGTGAGTTCAAGACCAGCCTGCACTACATGGTAAGTTCCAGGGCAGTCTCAACTACATAGTGAGACCCTGTCTAAAAAAACAAAAA